CCTCTTCTTTTGTAAGCACCTGTTACACCTTTTTAAATCAGTAGTTTGAGCCAGCTAATCAGAATTGATCACAACATAACAACTATGGAAACCTGTCATCTCCATTCCTCATCTTGAGTTTAGCACATCTGAAGTGCCCAGCTAAACCAGCCAAGTTTTTTACATGCTGAACTGAACTCCTTATTCACTTGGTAAGTTCTGAGGTTAATCTCCATTACAAACAGGGTTGTATTTTGTTTTAAACTTCAGTAAAATAAATTCATCTGCAAAGTTCTTAAAAAAAAAAATTCTTTGGCCTAAAAGCATAATCCTTCTAGAAGACTACGAGCAAGTAAGTGCTGATGAACAGCCAGAGAAAAGGGATTTGGACAAATGGTAGCTCAAATATTTGGTCATTCACTGTGTGTAGTTTGAGTTTACGGAGGGACTCATATTCTACTATATGAAATATTACCCAAGAAGGTCAAGTGAATTCTTTGCTTCACAATGGATGAAATAAGGTTTAAAAAAATAAAAATAAAAAAAAAAAAAAAAAATCTAAAATACAGAACTAATTTCCATTGAGGAATAAATACTGTTTGATTTTTCTATTCTGAAATTCCCTTCCAGTAAGATTTTTTTAATGCCTTTATGTTTGTTTAATAGGATGCAGGCAAGCAATTAAAATCAAACTCTACTCAGGATCACATTAAAAAAATAATGATCAAATCATTGCCGTTTGTACACAAAGAATCTCATGGTCTGCAGGAGTTCTACAGATATTTGTGCATGCTGAATTACTCTGACAAGCAAACCTGCAGCCTTATTCTGGAATTCACTTCCTACAGAAGGAGAGCAAAGAGCTCATCAACTTGTTAGCTTGTCCTGGGAATGCTTCTGCTGTGACTATCAACAAGCAGTTGAATTATTGATGCCTCTGGTGTCATGCTGCTGAATTTCTGGCTCTGGAACTGAGCAGCTCTTCCTAACACATGAACAAAGCAAAGCCCTCTCTGCCCAGCTTTTGATATTAATGTAATTTGTAGAATTTTACATCCTACATAGCAATGTAAGCAACGGATATGCCACAGAGAGATCTTATTTGCAAGAGCTCTGTTTGGTAAGGACAGACAGGGGGGCAAGTAGCATTTTCCTGAGCTCATAGGAAAATGAAATTTCTGCTAAAAAAAGAAAAATCTGAAGCAGCTTGAAATTAATAGTGATAAAAGTAAACTTACTGCAGACCTCATATAAACTTGTGTGTGTTAAAATCAGGCAGATAACATATCCTTTATTCATAAATTGTTGGAAGTTTGTTCTAAAGCATAATACCTATCTCAAATTCTGCTTAAATATAAACCATTTTTCATTATTTGTAACCAGGAAATATACAGAAAAAAAACCAACTGTATACTTGTGACAGAACTAATTGCTTGTAATTATGTCTTGCTAAATACACAATAATTATTTGATTTCTTCCCTTTGATGCAAATAAGCAGCAAATCTATCTGTACAATAACTATCCAGAGTGAGGTTTTAGAAAGAGTTCAATGATGCTACTGAAAACCACTTCTGAACTAAGTACAACCATAATAACTAAAGGCCAGAAGTATCAATTATTTCAGGAAGAGCTGGTTTCTTTGAAGATAAGTCCAACAATAAGTAGCACAACAGGTGCAGACCAGAACTAGAAATTCCTTAGAGAGGCAGAGTAGAAAAATGAATTGCTTGCTACTTGTTTCACACTGTTTCACGTGTTTCTCCTGAAGTATTTCTGTCATTGCCAGCAGAGGCCAGTCAGATCCATAGTAATCAGGTCTAAAACAACACTGCTGCCAAAGGTAAGCTTTACCTGCAAAGCTGAGTTCTAACATCCCCATGGATGTGTTTACTTGATGAATATTCACCAGCTTGTTTTGACTAGTTTTCACTCCCATGATATTCTTTCTCTTTAAACATTGTTTGATCAGACCAAGTTACATTACTAGTTAATTAACAAGTACATACCACCACCTCCCTTCAACATTAACTTTTTCTTTTTTGTAAAGAGTTCCTTGACTAATTTTTTTTTTTTTTTTTAATACATACTGAGTAATTGCCTATAGGCTCATCAATAATTAATACTCTGATGGATCTTAATACTTCAAACAACATTCAGGCACATGAAAACATTCATGAAATCTCTTTAATTAAGAAATTTTACTCAAGCCCCGAAAACTCATTCTGGACTTGAAAGCCAAGTGGCAACCTTGAAACAGCTTCAATTGATTTAACTAAATCCCACAGAACTGAAGAATTCTGGTAATCATCCACAAGCTCGTGCATCAAGAAATATGTTAGTTTCATAGCACATGGAACTGTAGGTAAGTGAAAGAATAATTTGGCCTTGCATCCATCTAATCACAGGTGCAAAAAATAAAACTAAGTTCAAGATGCCTTCTATGTGATACAGCTGGCTTACTGCAGTACTAAGAGAAAGTCTGAGGTTCATCACCTGTTATCCACAGGTGATTGCTATGGCACAGTAAGAGAAGCACCACAATAAAATGCACAAACAGGAGCATAACACACGTTCACTTCGTTCAGCTATGCTCTTGCCAGGGCAAAGCTTCTTCTCCAGCATCATTCAATACAAGTGAACACTAATGAGGGAGAGTCCAGGGAGTACCCAATTATTAGAATTCCTAGAAGAGATGTATAAAGCTTTGCAGTTATGGAGTATTAGAAGAGACAATCAAGAGATGATGCTTAACTATTCCAGTAAGATGCAGCAACTAGAAGCAAGAAAGCCAATTCTCTCCCCAACCAGCTGCTTTTGCTCATCACAAACAAGTTTAAAATTGCATGCTTTTTTCTTTTCCAACTTATACAGATAGTTAGTCTTCTTCTGTATGAAGAAGGATCAAGTCTCAGGAGAATTAAAGCTTAATTATTACTTTCTCTTAAGCAAAATAGCTTATGAAGCAAGAATGTTTCCAAAGAACAGAAATTAGACCTTCTAGTTTCATTTGTCAGCCTCTCCCAGTAGTTACTTCTCTGTTCATAAAGTGATCAGTGTTTTCCTACAGGTAATATAGAGGAAATATTACAAAGAAATTGATTAGCAAATCATTTCTCACCAAAAATAAGCAAGATGGAACTGTGTGATTTGGATTTAATACACAGTTACAAAAAAAAAATAATGAGAGAAACAAACTCCTTTACAGAAACAAAGCTAGTAAAGCTCTGGAGCATGGGTCTTATGGGGAGCAGCTGAAGGAAGCGGGATTGTTCAGCCTGGAGAAGAAGAGGCTTAGAGGAGACCTTATTGCTATCTACATTACAACCTCCTTTCAGATAATTGAAGTAGGAGTCGACCTCTTCTCCCATGTAACTAATGCTAGGACTAGAGGGAATGGCCTCAAGTTGCACCAGGAAAGGTTCAGGATAGATGTTAGAAAACATTTCTTCTCCAAAGGAGTAGTCAAGTGCTGGAATGGACTGCTCAGGGAGGTGGTGGGGTCACCATCCCTGGAGGTGTTCAAGGAACGTTCAGATGTACTGAGAGACATGGTTTAATGGGGTTATGTTGGTGGTAGGTGAATGATTGGACTGGATGATCTTGGAGGTTTTCCAACCTTGGTGATTCTATGAAACTAAATTTCTGAACATCCCCAAGTTTTAAACTGTATAAATAGTTATAGAAAACAGCATACTGACAGCCATACCTTCTCTCCTCCTACCCCCAAAAATATTCCAGCCAAATGAACACTCAGATATCCCCTTTGACCTAAAGTTATATTCTAGTTACAAAATTGAACAAGACAAAATATTTTTAGCAAGATGAAAAAGAGACTATCTTAGCATATCTGTTACCCCCATAATTTGGGGGCTATATTCAGGTTTCATCTGGGAGGAATTTGAAAAGGGAAGGAATTGGCTTCATCTCCTGTGATTTATGTGACATTCTTAAACTGAAGTACAAAGAAACAATGGAAGACACTAGTATAATCCATTTTGTAAAAAGCTATAGATTCTCCTGCAAGTTCAACTCTGTTTCAAAGCTCCCAGGGTTTTTGCTAAAAATGATCAAACACAAAGTGATCCATTTAACCAGCTTCTGTAGAACAATATCCTCTTGCACAAGGGGTATTGTCTTCTCAGATTTTATTCTGACACGAAGAAAACTAATATAAACCCTCATACAGCTGTATCCTTCAGACTGTCTAGCTTACTTTTACAGTTGCATTTCTTCTTTCCTTTTCTTTGCATCACAGCTGTACAGGCTGGAGCTTATAGCAGAACAAAACAGTGTTTTAACCGAAGACAGGAACTCAAGGAAAAGACAAAGCAGCTTATATTATGTTTAATTGCATAAGCCCATAAATTCCATTTCCTTTTTTTTTTTTTTTCAGCTGTTCCATTGGCTCCTTGTGGGATTATATATGTCAGCTCAACCTTACTCAAGAGTTTCAGGGTAAAAGTTCAAGAACAACTATTCAACTCAGCCCCTTGAGATCTCAGCGACATTTAGGAAACGACCATTGAGGGCAAGAGTCGTATCTGCCAATTGAATGAAACACATTCTCTTCTGCTTTTAAGAGCTCTTGAAAATGTTATAGAATATTTTCCCCTTAGGCATACAAATCTGAATTTTACATTAAAGGCTCTTTTATTACTTTCTTACAGTAGTTTATTATCTGTGCTATGAAATTTCACTTATTAATTTAAAACAAAAATCCTGTTTCTGGATCACCTGAACATTGCAAAACCGGTGAAGCATTGGAACAGGTTGCCCAGAGAGGTGATGTCCCATCCACAGGAAAAATTAAGATCAGGCTGGACAGAGCTCTGAGCATCGTGGTCAAGCTGTAGATGTGCCTGTTCACTGCAGGTGAGTTGGACTGGATTATGTTTAAAGGCTCCTTGCAACTCAAACAATTCTATAAAAACACGCATTGGGAAGGAATGAAGTGGCTCACAGGATACAAAAGAAAAAAAGTCAATTTCTTTGTAAAAAAAAAAAGAAAAAAAAAAAAACAAACCTGTTTAAAAAGTAATAAATTTAAGGAAGTTGTTATCCCACAAGAACAAAGCCCACTTTTAACAGAATAACATTTCTTTTGTTTCTTCAACCATAATAGAACAGGAAGGAAAAGAAGAAACCACAAAAGCAAACCATTCTGGAGTGCAAATCTAGGCTCTCTTTTGAAGTAACCAATGTCTATCAGAACAGCAAAGTGCTTACTATGGGAAAAATCTGCATATGCTAAGACTTGAAAGAAATCTGAACTCCTGAATTCCATGAAAACTTATTATCCTGTCGTTTTTTTTTACTTATGAATTGGAGCATAGTGATTTAGCCAGCTCAACCAGCCCATATCAAGATGAGCATGGTAGCAGTAGATGCCTCAGAATGGCTTCTTAGAATCATCTCACATCTTTCTGCAGCAGGTGACCTAGCTATCAGCTGAGAAATATTTATTGCCAGTCAACAAGTGTCTTGTAACTGATTTAAGTGTTGAGCAAATGAAGACATGCACACAGTTAAGGAGAAACAAACACATCCACTCCCCATTCCTGGGGCTCCATTTCTCTTGTTGCACTTTGTGCAGCCAGAAGTAAGCAACATCCAGCAAAATAAGTGGCATGTGTGATGAGGTCTTTCTGGCTTTCCTGCTGCTCTGATAAGTCAGTGGGAGCCTCTCCTCTGGTACCCATGCACCTGCCTATTTCTGTCAGACTTCCCATCAGGGAAGGAAAAGCTGCCCTATTAACATATTATGCTCAAATGATGGTAGATTAGTGTTTGTGTTAACCTAGTAGCAAGTATAGCTGGGTCTAGTTAAGGACTGTGGACATTCAGTATCATTTAATAAAGATGATTGATGCTTTGCCTGTTCCTCATTCCGTTTGTTCAATGCTCGCTGCTGACATAGGCTTCTCCTATCTCTGAACTAAGAAAAACTCTATCAGAGGCAAGTATTTCACTCCCTTAACTGTCTGGTTACATGACAAGTTGTTTTCTTTTATTTAAAAATGCCTCTTTCATCTCAGTTACAGCTTTCCCCTTTCTCTGTTCAAAGCTCTGCTTATCAGCTTCAGGCTCTGTAGTGCACAAGCCCCTCCAGATCCTCAGTGTCTTTACGCTCATCCCTACAAGCCTATCTTAAGCAGTTTTCTAGACTGGTTTCTTCAATCCAGGATTTCATGAATATCAAAGGCCCTCCCATGAGCTCTCACCTGAAGAGGGGCCACTATTCACATCCCTGTATTCCTTTCTGGAGCACTTCCCTCCCTCCAGAGCTTACTTCTGCAACAGAGCTTGTAATAACCCACTTTGCTTGGTAGCCAGTCCTCACCACACATTCCCTGACTTTCTGTTTACTGGGACTGGTCTGGCTGAGAAGAGAGAAGGCAGTGCCAGGAGTGAGACAGACCTGGAGGTGCTGCTGCCAAAGGGCCTGCCCAGAAAAAAGGAGCTGGGAAGAGCAGGGTGTCTGCAGCTTGCTCTGGAGAGGACTCAAGAAAGCTCAACAGCTCCTCTCAGCTCCAGTGGCAGCTACTAGCAATGCAACCAAGATATTAAGCAAATACAATCCTGGCTCTTAAACCCCCACAAAATGCCAATGGCTACTGCTCTTACTGGATGGGATCCTTGCCCATTCAAAGCAGTCACACAACATCTTAAGCCAGAAATTTTTTAAAAGCATACTTTTTTCAACTAGGTTTGTCATCACAGCTGGACTAGATGATCTTGGTGGTCTTTTCAACTTCACATCTGTATTGTACAACACAGAAAATATAGATGCCATTAATCAGTTTTAGGATCACTGAAGAAAGGTACTGTTCACAATCCAGTAAATAAAAAGAAATAGCTTACCCATTTCTGAGGAGAAGAGCTCATTGAAAAACTTCCAAAGGAAACAGTCATCAAGTAGAAATGCTCCTCCCTTGGCTGAGAACCCTTAAATAAGGTTAGGGATTGCACAGGCAATTGCTTGCACCTGTGCTCCCAAGGCTACCCACTCCCCTTCATCAGGTACTCCATCAGAAGCAGGTGTTCAGGCCACAACCATTAATTCCCTTATACTCCACCCCTTCGCAGCTTGGACAATTGACTGAGCATAGAGAGGACCAGCTTTCCTTTACAGTCTGGTTCATAATTGTAGTCACAACGTTGATGCAGTTTTCATCACAACACAGAGTCCCTAGTTTTCAATGTCCTGTACAGCTTCCTTCAAAAATTCAGAAATCTGTCATTAAGAGTCATTGATGAACAAGATGTCTTGATAATTCTTCAGTGGCACTGAAACCCAATGCTGCTTCTGTCTCCTTTGGTCATTCTGACAGGCTGAGAATCTCAGGGGGAGTAGAACAGGTGTTTGACACTAAAATAGGCAGATCCACCCTCCACAGTGAAATATATGCCATTTTCCTGTTGTGTATCAAGATTTCCATTTGGACAGGGGCACATCCAAGCCTTTTATACCACGCTCTTTGGCATTAATTGACAGTTGGATAATTATACCAAGTACTAAATAGGGGATGGAGGGGGCTCTGATCTGCCAAAATGATATAATTAGGGTCACCTTTGTGATGAGAATCTGTGTTTCACAATTTCTGAGGACCACATGCAAATTCCTTGTGGTATGACCATTCCTCCCCCTACTAATAATTGCCTCTATGGTGCAAGTAGGCTGCACCATTTTGCCCCCACTTGGGCTTTTTTCAAGACCATTTTACCTTGTGGGTTCCTGGTTCTAGATTCTCAGGGGCAGGGAGTAGATTATTCATCGTTCCAACTTGGGACTTAGTCATATACTACTTCCCTTAATTTGAGCCTTAAGCAGGGAAGTCCAAATTGTTTGCAACATATGCGCTATTGGGTCAGCCATCTGTGTCTTTCATTCAGGTCACTCAGCACTTCATGTACTCTCTTAGTTCATTCCTGCTAGGACTTAGTCTTCAGTGCAGCCTTTGACATCGTTCTGCTCTCTATCTGACCTACTCCTGTCAGGAGGAGAATATAGCTGCCACAGACCAGTATTCAGATCACTTAACAAATGCACTGATCATAATCCAGTAATAAAGAAGGAACATCTTACCCCATTCTGAGGATAACATCTCACTAAAAAATTCCCAAAGGAGGCAAATTCTAAGTAGAGATGCTTCCCTTTGGCTGCCAGCCCTTAAATGAGTTTAGGGAGGAGTTGGCCCTGGGTGTACTCCTTACAGTTGCACAGGTGAATTGCTGGCACCTGTGCTCCCAGAACTGGCTATTCCCCTTCACCAGGTGCTCAATCATTGGTACAGGCCATGACCTAACAGTACCCTAAAAATATTTCATAGTATTGTTTTCTTTCCAGCTCCTTTCCCACTAACTGGACTTTTCTAGTGCATTCTACTTGTTTGCTTACAAGACTTCACAGCCTCTGTCTGCATACTTTAATTGAATTAGATGGATGCCACATACCTGTGGCAGAGAAACAAGTCATCGTGTCCCTGGAAGGTTCCAGGTAGTGCTCTAGGGAATTTCATTTGTTTTCTTATACATATTTTTGTGCAGAAGACTATTCCCTCACATCTTTCCCAGTGTTCGGTTCCACATGCCCTCCAGTTCTGTTTTGGTTCACACCCATAAAATGTTGAAAAAACAAGCATTCTAAAAAAATAGTGTCAGTTGTAGTGCAACACATTTATGATCACTGAGTACCAATAACCACAAATACTGTTTTTAATTACATTTAAACATTGTTAGAGAATGCCTACGTGAGTATTTCTATGCTCCTAAAGAATGAAACTTAAAAGATATCAAGAATGGAGAATACAAGTCTCTAAAGCCATCTTGCCACCTTGGGCAACTCCTATCACTCTTTTTCTCTTTCATTTTTTTTCCCATCTATTTCTAAATTTAATCTCTTCATATTAAATCTTTGTGGTAAGAAATATGGTCCGTGTGTAAAGAAAAACCTCTGTTACTGCATCAGTAGTAACAAGCATGTGGGTCAAAACCAAAGTCACCCAAAAGGCTCCTCTACAAAATGGGATATTCGGTAACATTGCATACACTACCATAGCAAAAAAAACCCCCACAAATGTTAAAGCCATTACATTATGCTTACATATACTTTCACAGAAGAAGGGAAACCATTATCAGGTATGTTCAAATATTAAGTGGCTGTTATGTCTGATTATATATTTGTAAAACTATTGGACCTGGAATCTACCTGTAATCCCCACTCAGTTCCCCACTCTCCTTCAGACAAAAGTTCACAAGATTTAAGGTAGAGCAACAGAGAGGTTGTTCTGAGGTGGAGATTGGAACTGTTCTTGCAATATCTGGGTTAAAAAAGCAATGAAATAGGAAGAAGATGGAAGCGCTGAAACAGAGTTTCAAGACATCCAAAGTATAATACAACATGATCAATCCAGTTGACAAACATTTTCCTCCAACCCCCACTCACCTTTACCTACATTAACAGGCCACTAAGTTTGGTCCAAACCAGTAAAAGAAGGGAACACCCAGAAAACTCCTTTTGGTCTTCCTTTTCTGTAAGGAGACAAGAGCATCAGGATTGGGACTGATGTAGAAGAGTGGAAGCTTGCAAAGGTATTAACCACTTTAAACAGCAAACACTGGATTTTTCCCAAGAATTAAGTAAGTCACTGCTAAATATATAGTAACTTGTTGCTCAGCCGTTATAGCCACATTCATCAAAAATTGTGTAGAGTAACTTCTGTCACATCTGCTATCTTTAGGAAAGAGAAGGAAAACAACACTGGGTACAATGTCACACTCTTGAACTCCTTCGTTCTTGGCAAAAGCTGTAAAATTTGTGATATTCTTCCCATGAGGCACTTTTACGTATATATCACTCTGAGCTTGCAAGATTCTCCCTTTCTCTCCCTCCCTCTACAGGTTCTTCACTCAGATAATTCTATTTTTTTTAATTCATGAAAAAATGTCAAGGAGGATTCTTTCATAAAAGTGGTGTGAGTTTGGGGTGTTGTTTTCTAGTTTGGGGGTTTTCTCTGCAAGTTTGCTGTGACCTCACAAAGAAGATCTCATAACAAATCTCCACTGGGTTCTTGGTAGCAAAGGAATCTATTAGTCACACAGAGCTGAATACTTCAGATAGCTTTCAGCACATAATGCTCGGATTTACTCTCTAAAAGGCAGGCTTTTTATAGAAGGCTTTTCACCCAGGGATTCTGACACATCATTCTAGACAGCACTAAAAACCTATGCAGGAGTTGCCTTCAGCAAAACCAAGATAAGTGTCTGACATTCACCTCTGTTTTTCTTGGAGTATATTGAGAAAACCAGGTATTAGTTGCTTCTGCAGAGGTTCTGGGAAGCACCACAGTGTACTCCCAGAAGATAGTCCCAGAAGAAAAGTAAAGGAGGGAATAGCCCTTCTACTAAATCTGACTAGGTTTGGATCAGGCCCCACTACACCAAATGACCAAACCTGCAGAAAGAAACCTTCAGAAGACTGCTAAAAAATTCAGTAACTTGAATAAACTATGTGATATTTAGTCAAGAAACAATTGTTCCAGACCTTCAACCCTACAATAATGGGACTTTATTTGTACAAGTAGTCAATAACTTTTAAGTCAATAGCTTTACTTATGGGAGTGCTTCTGCTATAAGCTCAAGTGCTTATATGCTCAAAGTCTAAATTAAGACAAAGTACTTTAGCACTGAACATAAGGTCCCAACTAAACAATGGCACAGTGCAACAAATCATTTGTTCTACATTTGCCAACAGAGTGTTGAAGCATAGCCTGTTACTCTGATCTTAGCTTCTTGTTCTTTATCCTTGAAAATGTATGTAATGAAGAGCAATAATCTGCAGATGTAATGGGCTAAATTACTCAAAGTAACACAAGTTTATACACAGATTTAAAAGGAAGTAAGAAGTGTGTTAAAAAATTCTCATTTAAAAGAATAGCTTCAAAATACAAGAGTAAAATACCTGGAAAATATACCACCAGTCTGATAGGGTATCTGATATGTGATCAGAAATGAGCAAATGGAAAAAAAGAAGGAAAAAAAAAAAAAAAAAGAAAACCACATGCAGAACAGTGAGATTTTTTAAATGCCAGCAAATTTGAAGAAGGCAATAATATTGAAATTGCACTGTAAATGGTAGAGTACTTAGTACTTTTCTCCTACGGATGTCAAATAAAAATCCAGGCTGTAATTTTATTTTATTTTATTTCATTTTTTGTCTGATGAAACATTTACTTAAAGTTATACCACTTAGAAACCACTGAAGTGTTGTGTCTATATAAGCAAATGCAGATTTGGGCACTGCCACATACAACAAGGTACTGAACACATCTGCGTGAATAACATGTATCAGTGAGTTGGAGTTACATCCTCCCTTTACTCAGCTCTTTGTGAAAACTCAATCTCTTGTCACACTCAATGGCAGCTATGTGAGGTGCCTGCTTGTGCACAGCCCAGCTGGACAGCCACCTAGCTGTGATAGATGACCTTGATCCAGTGTCCAGCTCAGAGGGATGGACAGCCAGACCCCTCAGCCTTCCCACCCCAGTGCTTTCCCTCTGTGGAAGGGACTTTATCAGGATCAAGATGGATCACTGCTGATGCGTATTTCAGTAAAGATGATCCTACCATGTCTGTCTATGGGTCACATGCAACATTCAGAACTAGGAGCAGTGCTACATCCTGATTTCAGTGACAGAACTGACAAAATATGCCATAGTTTCCCGGATAAGAAAGGCATTTACTAGCATGTCCTCAGCTTTCCCAGATCAGCATAAGAAATCAGAATTGCTCTACCCCTTTTCTTTAGCTATTCTAAGTGTGATTCTTCCTTTTTTTTCATGACATTTTTTAGGTAAGTAGGTCTTGCACTTAGTCCTCTAATGCTACCATAATCAATGAGACATTTATCAACACAAGAAAGGAAAACGGGTAGCAGAAATTCACTCTTCCTTGGTCACTAACACAGGCTGCTGTGCATTTCAATACATTCTTCCTTAGACAGGGAAGAAACATCAGGAATTGCATGAGTACTGCATCAGTTGGGACCCAAAGCACTGGGCTCTCTGCCAAGTGACTCATGAATCATTAGCAGGTTAGGAGATTTTATGATGAATACATGTGACATAATTTTTACATTTCTCTTCTAAAACTTTGTTTCTCTGGAGATTGAAAATTTCAGTAGTTTTAAGATGTGATTAAAAGCATGAAATAGTAGATATATAATAGAACGCAAACATGAGCATTCAAGAAATTAAAAAAAGGAAAAAAAAGCATTTCTTCGGTTCATTATTTTATTTTACTTATTTCAACTCTGCTGTCTCTCCCCTGTCCTCCAACAACTGAATGCTACTGGGCATCACCAAGAATTAAACACAAAAGGTCAAGTCAAACACAGGTACATGGCAGCTTACCAATTTGTGTTACAAATTATATACCAGCACAGCCAGAAATCCTCTTATCAGTCTGTCCATTTTAAGTGCAAACAAGTACCTCTCTGCATTAGACTCAGCTACAATAATCCTTATATATGGACTCAAGTTCCTCAAGTTTACTTTTTAAATAACAAAGGAAGAAATTGAATTAAATTATTTAAAGCACAATAACAAAATTTTTATCTATTGTAATTTAAGGTATCAAAGCTTTATTTAGAAATCCTCTAGCTTCTTTATGTGACTTTAATCCACAGAAGTCAGAAATCTCAGATCTGATTTATTTCAAATATTAAAATAATTAAAATGATTACTATATACAATACATATACCCCATTAAAATAACTGCTATATACAGAGTTTGTACATTAATAAAACTGAAGTAAAACACATTCTTCTTTAAACAACCATTCAATTCTGCCTTTTTATTCTATTTTAGAGATAAACTCCTTATGTTCATCCGCTCTTATTTAAAGAGGCTGATTTTTGCTGGTCTGGGCTGAATTTGATTGTTCCAGCATAACCTGGCTGGTTAAACACCCATCACCCACTGTAATCTAATCTAACTCTCTGATTCTTCATCTGGGAAGGATCTTTCACCAGGAAATATCTCATGATTCATTTATAAATACTCCTCCTTCACTACCACTGCAGCTAGAGAAGTTTGTGCATTTCTATTATGCAACAGTAGATGAATGCATCACTTTTCAAAAGATTTCCAATCTTGATTCCAC